GTCCAGGTGCAGCTGGTACCTGAACCAGGGTCCAGGTGCAGCTGGTACCTGAACCAGGGTCCAGGTGCAGCTGGTACCTGAACCAGGGTCCAGGTCCAGCTGGTACCTGTACTCCACCGTGAAACAGCTGATCGATATGTCAGAACTGATTCACCAGACGTGTTTCCATGTCTCCTTTTACACATGAACTGTTTGAAAAGACCAAAAAGCACCTGACGTGAGTGAATCTACTTTTATAATCATGTTTCCATTCAGCTGTTCTGATGTCTTCCTGAACATGTGCATTAAAACTGTGATGGAAACACGGCTACGATGCTAACCATGCTTGTGTTGTTAGGCTCAGACAGTTTGAAGCGTGAATCTTTATTGTTCCCTTGGTGAAAACACAAACACATAGAAATCTGTTACAAAAAGCAGCAGCTGAGCTGCAGTAAAACAAACAGCCACCACGAGTCTCTACATTATTTTACACACGCCTCTTCCACCTGTGTGCTCAGGTGTGCAGCAGGCCTCTCACCACACACGGGTCACATGACCCACAGTCAGTCTGCAGGTTTCTGGGAGGTGGTGTGAGGTCTGCAGGGGTCACAGGAGATGAGGATCACTGGAGGTTTGAACTCTTGTTTCAGGGCTACCGGCCACGCCCACCACCTCTGGGCGCTCCTCTGGGTGGTCCTCCTCGCCACGGACCAGGCCCCGGACCTCCTCCAGGACCCCAGCCGCCCCGCCCACCTCGCCCAGGAGGAGGGTAACCTCCATCCTCCCTCTGAGGTAGACGACCTGCGGAGACACAAACACAAACAGTAGCTGTTAAAACCAGGGTGTGTAAGATCTCATTATGTAATAACAACTCATTATGTAAATGTAATAAGCTCAGGGCCGGATTAACACTTCGCTGTACCCTGGGCAACAATATTCAAGGGCCCCATCATCACGACCCCAGGATTACCAGTCTGGCAAAATACAGAGTAAATTATTGCAATATATAGTAAATATACTCAATACTTCAAATTCTAAGTGTATTTTGATGTACAAATGCTCATAGAACTACAAATACACTGTCATCTTGTCAAGGACACTCCTTCACGTGATGCTATAAAAACAAAACACATCAGTATAATCTGGTAAACATGACCCACTACACTGAGRTCAGGGAAGTGTCCTCCATTTTCACAAAAGCAACACTTGACATTACACAACCCTCTCAGTCACCTGACCCACCTCATGTGGACTGACCAATGAGGAGAAGATCTCAACTCACGTTCACAGTGACAGGCAGCCTCTCTGCAGCACAAGAGCTCCAACAGACAGTTTAACAAAAGCAGGAGAAAACCAGACATTTAGCTGGTGCCTTCATTCAAAGGTGTAACCATCATCTCAGAAGAGAGGGGGACACATTTTTTAGAGGTCTACTGAGTGATTTATCATCCTCTCTTATTAAATCACACCTCTCCTTAGTGGATAAAACACATATAATTACTAACAGCCACAGTACAGTTCCACTGACTGACTTTAGTTCTTTAAACTATTTATTAACAAAATCTGAAGTTTTAACAGCCAAAAGGTAACCAGATGGAAAACAGCATTACTGTAAGCAAACATAGACTTGAATAAGAACACTACCCATCCTGTCCACTGGTGTCTGTGACATCATGGAGGAGCAGAAACAGACCAAACAGGCCAACAGCTCACAGCAAACATAGAAACTAACAGATAAACAGCAGCTGAACTGGATCTGTTTCACACATTATCTGTCATGTTTTTACAATAAATTAATAATTAAGTTAATTTCATTCAACGATCATGTAAAACAGCAGATTTATACCAGAAAAATATATAATTTATAAATAACAATGATCTAATCCAGATGTGAAGATTAGACTTTAGCTAGTTGAAAAATGATGACTTAAGCTGTAATAAAATATATTTACAGTATTTTTTCTTCTTGCTGTCCTAAAAATATGAATAATAAATATTTACCAGTCACTTAGAAAATGTTCTCTGTATTCCTGTTATAGGA